CCGCATACATTATTGTCTAGCATTTCTTTTTTCCTATTATTATTCCTCCTGTCTGACCTTTTGCCATCTCTTCCTCCAAGTCTGACATATATATATATTAAACAATATCGGGCTTAGCGGACATCCTTTGTCTAAGGCCTTTTTCAGTCTAAAACTCCTCCGACTTCCTATTGTCTACTTTCACTATATTCCTTGTTTCTTTATACGTCTCCATAACTCGGAGTCTGAGGTTGTTCTCTATCTGTATCTTTCTCATCATTTCATTTAGCAGCTTCCTGTCCATTTTATCGCATGCAGCTTTCAGATCCGCGAAAAAGATAAACATCTTTCCTCCTTTTTTGCTCAATTCCCTGTTAACCACGTGATTTATTATATAGATTTACTACATCCATCATTTCTCTTCCTTTTCTGAATCCATACTGTCCTTCCTTCAGCTTTTCCTTCGCTTCTTTTTCAAGTCTTCTGTTTAGAATAGTCGCGTAAATCTTATATGCTGTGTTCATTAATGTAATTCCTTTATAGATTTAATCTCCTCTTTTGTAGATAGGGTAGATTAAGCGTTTGTTCCAATCTGATGATATTCCTTCACCTTTTCATACTCTGTTAATCATTTTCCAGAATTCTTCTCCGATTTCTTTGGACATAAACCTCCATGCCTCATTCTCTACCTCGTCTTTGCAATTTCTTCTACTTCTTCTCTTCCTGTCTTTTCCTCTTCGCTTTTCTCACTTTCCATACTCAGAGTCATTTTCTCCCTAGCAGCTCTATAAAATGGTCTCTCCAGCTGTCTATCTATATATCCTTGCTTGGCCTCTCTGATTTTTTCTTCCTGTACTTGTTTATATATTTCCATGTCTCTTTCTCACTTTTTATATTTTTTATCTTTTCTTTTTCTGCTTTCTCATGCTTCTTCTGTGCTTCACACCATTCTTTATAATTCCTCCTTTTTATCACATAATCGTCCTTGCTAATTCTTTCTTTCTTCAGTTCTCTTAGTTCTTTTCTTAACTTTCTTTTCATACTTCTCCATTCTTTATTATACCAATCTTTCTTTCCTAATTTCCATGGGAGTATTTTCTTTTTATCTTTCTTGATTGCACTTTTAATCTTTTTTCTTATCTCTATCCAAATACCCTCCGTATCCCTCCCTTGTGCTCCTCCATTCTTTACTTTTCTCTTGATAGCTTTTTATCTCCTCTTCCGTCCAGCTACTTCTCTTTATTTCCACTTCCATTTCTTTCCTATCTTTTTTCTCCATTATTTGCGGTCCCCGCAGCTCCACCTCTAATAGGATGTGATCTGACTCTGTTCTGTTGCCTTCTTCTACTCTTTTGATTTCTTCACATGCTCCATCATTTCCTATCACATTGTCTATGACCGAAAATCCTCTCTCCCCTATATAAGTCCATCCCCCCCCCTCTTCTTCGAAGCTTCCAATCAATATCGCCCATCCTCTCTCCTTTCTATTAGTCTACGGTCATCTTTGTTTATTATTTTATCTATTGATTTCCTGCTCTTGTTTCTCTTCTCATTTTCTTCTTCTATTACCGGTCCTCCTTCACTATCTGTCCTTACATTCAAATCTCCTCGTATTATTAAATACTCTTCCTCTTCTTCTCGAATATGTTCCATCAATCTTTCCATTATTTTTTCTACCTCTTGACTATTATTCTCCATTTATTTCCATTATAGACCATTTCACATTCCATCGCTGCTTCGCTTATTTCCCTAACTTCTATATTCTTTATTTTCTTGTTCACTGCAGTGATTATCCCACCTTTTGCTCTTCCTTTTTTATGTTCCTTCTTTGCCGGCACATAGTTCCATTCGTAGTCTTTCGGCAATCTATAATATTTTTAATTTTCTCCCACCTTTCTTCGTCTATCTATGTCTCCACTAATCCCATGATTAAATTCTTCCAGATATTCCCCATTTATTAGACAGTTCCGCAATATTCCAAAAACAAATTCTTAATCCTCTTTTCGCCTCTTCCCCGCCATCCTTTTCCTTTTCTCATTCTCTTCTTCCTCCTCTGTCTTCTTCTATTCTTCTCTCTCTCATTCCAGCGTAGCCACTTATCTTTCATAAAAATCTTACCATAACTTACCTTCACATTGTTTCCTTTCTCTTTCTCCTCTTTAGCTTTTTCCTTCAACTGCTTTTGCATTTCTCTTTTTTTTCTTGTTAGATCTATCTATAAATCCCTGCACTTAACTCTTTCTTTCTTGTCATAACCTCTCTTTTTTCTTCCCAGTTCTCTAATTCAGTTATTATGGTGCACTTATTCTTCCTGTCCTGTACCTTAAATGCCTTTCTTATTTTCACTTCTACCCTCAAATTTTCTTTGACAAATTCTACAACCTGCTGTTCCATCTTGTTTCCGTCCCATTTGTTTATGCCTCTGATTACTATGTTGTTTCTCCGTCTTCCTCTATCCTTCTTTTCGCTCTCTCATTCTAGTTTTTCTATTCTTCTTTCCAATTTTCTTCTTTCTATGTTGTCTTCTTTATCTTTTCTTTTTCTTTCCTCCATCTCCAGCTTTCCTTCTTTCCATTCCTTCCTCATTTATTCGATTTGTCCCATTATGTTTTCCATCCGTTTGCAAATCTTTTCCATCTCCTTCCCCATAAACTTTATCATAAGTTCCTCTTTTCCTGTATCTCTGCATGTTTTCTTCTTTAGGTTTATTTTTACTGCTTGTCGGTCTTCCTACCATTGATGCCATCTGACGGCTGCTGCCATGGACTCTTCGCTCTTCCTCCTTCTCCAGATTGTTCTGTCTTCCGCCTAACCTAGCGGCTTTCCCGAACATGCTCAGATCTTTTATTCCTTCAGATTCTTCTTTTCTATACTCGCCTTCTTTTCCCGACCTTTTCCCACTTTCTTACTTTCTGATCCATTTATTATTTTTTCTTTCTCTTTCTGTTTTTCACTGTTTTCTATTACTATTCCCTCTGTCAATATATACACACGTCACCACGCTCTCTATTCCTAACCGGAAGTCTCATATATAATTATACATATTTATGAATATTTATGCATGTTTATGTGTATGTTTATACATATTTATACATATTCATGTATGAAAAATTTTTATCGGGGCAATGTGCATATCGCTAACTGAAAAACAGATTTTTTTTAGCTAGAAAATTTTTTAGCATTAAAGAAGATTGCAATTTTAAATTTAGCTTATATAGCATCTTATAATTATATGACATTCTATCTTTTAGTGTATTTTTTAGAGGCATATTAATGAAAAATCTTTTAACATTAAGGAGGGAACCTTATTTATAGGGTCAAAAAAATTTTTTTTAAAGTTATCTTAATCAATAGTAGCATTCCCCGAGAATGTTCTCTTAAAATATTAGATCGATATTCGAAATATTTTGCAAGTTACAGCTTCGAGAATGTCATGGGTCATACAGGTATTTGAACGCGCAGCGAAAGTCAGCAGAGCGTTCCCCTTTTTCTCCTCGCAGATATATTTCTAGTATTGAATAAATTTGAGAGTCTATGAGTGCTTTCCAATTGCTTAACACATCTTAACACAAACGTACACAGGAATGCATAAAGTGTATCATTGTGCACGATTCAATTGGAATAGAATGTGTACGCTGTGCATGATTGAGATCCGTTTCGGATAGAATTCGATTAAATGTAGCTTTTTCCACCTGTATTAAATAAAAAAAAGTGCTGGTCACTCAACGTCTTCCAATCTCATTTATAGCCGCCGCAGTTAGTACAATAACATGTAGTTGTCACTAAAAATACAAGCTTACACAGCCCTCGACTGAGTACAGTAGTGCAGTGTTATGCTGACGATAACGAACAATTGGAACGCAATTTATGTCGCCGTGTGCACGAAAGGGATATTGCAATTGGAAAGCACCCATTGTTTATAATTGTGAGTTTGAATATTAGAGGGTGAGTTTGATTATTAGAGGGCAATCGTTAGTAAGATTTTTGAAACATGCTTCATTTTGTTGTGAATGATCAGTCGAGCTTTAGTTTCCAGTGAATGAAGATGTTTCTCAAATTTTTATTTCGATAAAATAATGTCCCGAAAGCGAAATACGGTATAAGTGAACGTGCATCACGACTACGTAAAAGACGTTTTTACGGAAATCGATATACGAAAAAAGATAATGAAGATCCGCAGCCTAGTATCTCCGCGAGAAAACTAAGCAGTGCGAGTGTAGATACTATATAATCCACTGCATTTATACAGAATTGTGGAGGTTGTGAATGTTTTTGGGAGTTTTACGAGGAAGCTGAAGGTTTATTATGGGAAGGTTTTTGGGTCTGGAATAGCAGATTAGCCTGTGATTGCTATAAGTTATCAATAATTAATAATTTTGTATTCCGAAAATTTTAAACGTGTTTTCCTCGAAACCGTATTTTTCGAGTTTGTGTACACAATAGAAAAAAATCTAATCAACCGATTGAATCTTTTCTGGTCTTGTTTTGTCGATAATTAGTGCCTCTTCTATATAAATTAAAATAATTTCGAAAAATGTTAAATTATACTAATTCTTTTTAAACGAAGTGTCGAAATTTTTTTGTGAAAATTGTAAATTTTTTTTCAAAGTCGTAGATTTTTCAAGTTTTGCTTTTCTTTCAATTTTTTCAGTTCAATTAGAAGATAATAATATAAAAATAAAGTACAAATTTGGTTTTTTGTTTCAGACAAAAATTATGACCGCTAGAGTGTCACAATAGAACAACAATAGAACAGACTTATATAATCATGTCTTCACTTTTATAACAAAAAAACATTATTATTTAACAAAAAAATTATTTTTTTATAGTTGATATATATAGTAAAACGTCCTTAAAATTTGGAAGCGATTGGTTTTATGTTATCTGAGAAAAAAATTCTAAAATATCATGTACTTTTGGCTCTCCTAAATGAGGTTTCCTCTTAAGAGTTTACCGCGAGAGTAGAATATTTTTTTGAATGTGCATTTCTAAAGTAATTGATGTCATAAATTATTACTCACTTTAACTGCCATGATACCAAGAAAGCAAAATCGAAAAACATTATTCACGTATATCAAGAAGATATTTAAAGATAGCAATTTTTTTAACATTAACATTGTGCTGAAACAAAATGTATCTATATTCATAACAATATAGAAAATATATCAAAACTAAAATTAATATATTTTGTAGTACATTATAAAATTTCATATTATATATTACTTGCATATGACATATCCAAATTTCTTCATCAATTTGCAACTTTTTCTTAAATTTGAAAAAAATGTACTTACTGTATAATAGTGTTGTGTTGCTGACATAAGTTTTTTATCTCTTTTTTTAAGGAAAAATTTTGTACTCCAAAATTGTTTTCTGAAAAACCGCTGTTATCTTGTTGATTACTGTTTTGAAAAAGCAATACAAGCTTCGAAGCAATGTATTGATACTGTGCAGTTACCAATGATATCAAATGTATTGTATAAACATCCACACTGACCTTCTTTAAAAAAATGTATACATTGCTGATTGTTATTATTACGCTACCCAACAAGAAAATATTGATAGAGAATGGTTCTTTGGAATAAACGGCTGGTGATTTAAAATCTACATAGTAGAAAGTATCCTTTTCAAATACCAACGAAAACGCTAAGCAAAACCAGACGAAAACAGCAAATGTGCCACATACAAAATATAATTTAAATGGAGTCTCCATAGGTTTCAAATTTGTTATTACGATATTCTTTATATTTTTGTTATCGATGTTCAAAATTTCATTCATTTTTCGTATAATTTGTTGTAGCAATGTTGTCTGTGTTGTATGTATTCGCACTACTATCAAACCTGATTCTAATACGGTGATGAAGGCAAGTACGCCATCGTTCAATGATTTCTCTTTTGGTACTACAAAGAAGGCAGCCATTAATGTGACTGTGTAAACCAATTCAAATAGCCACACGATAGCGCTATATATCTTCCATAATACTGGAAATGACGAATTGTCGGTCATCGGTAACAGATTACCCGAAAGAAGATTTAACCGAACGTTGAAGGGATTCAGGTTTTGGAAGTCCATTAACTCAATATTGCTTTTTATAACGAGTAGAAATAGTTCTGTAAAGTAAAAGACATAGTAATTAAGGTTTTAAATCATTCATTCTATTTCTTTCGTATATATATATATATATATATATATATATATGCATTTTTAATGTGTCTATGCATTATATAAAATTACTATTTACTTATTATGGCCGCATAAAGATTTAATTTATAATAATATGCATTTGCAATATTAAACTAAAAATTTCTAAGGATCGTAAATGTTATTACATAACAAATAAGAAATAAATACTTTTAACGGTCACTTGATCTTAAGTGCTTAATTTGATGTGAACTTATATACTACACATATGTAGTCTTTTAAATTGCGCGCTAAAGTGGTTTAATGGTGAGGATGCTTGTACGAAATGTAAGAAATTCAAATTCAATCCTCATCTGAGATAATATTTTTTGCAATAAGATTATATATTTCCAGATTTTAATATTCAGCATCACTAAGATTTCTATGATATCTAAGATATTCTCAGAATATGAAATTATTAAATTGCTAATCAATTTAGTTTGTGATGTTACTATTGTAGTTCAGTCGAGTTTGTGTCTCAAAATCGAAAAATCATTTCATCGTGCAATTTAAAGGACAACATATTAACATATAAATATATATTTTATATCTAATTATCTAAGGCCGATATTTATAGTCAGGTTTTATATTCAAGACCGTCTTAAGATGTATTATTCTTATGGATATATTATATGGATATGTTATATTATTCAATCAGGTATTAATATTTTACTGAAGACGGTTTTAAAATAAGAACTGACTATGAATACCAGCCTAAGCACTTAAGATCCAGCGTGTTCGTTGAAAACATTAATTAAATTTAATTAAGAATATTATCTTTCAAGTTAAAGTATTATATATCAAAATAAGAAAAAAAATTTATTAGTACAATTTTTTAATATACTCATCTGTCTTATTCACACAGCATGTAATATTACAGTAACATTGCAATAATATTATAAAATTGCTTTAATATTACATGGTAATATATCAGTAATACTGTATAAATGTTACTGCAATATTAAGTGTCCGCGAAAATCCATAATAGAAATATTTTTGCAAATTATAGTAACATTATAGTAATATTAACTTTCAAAGGAGTTGTTATTATGTTCAAAGAACACATTATTAGCGCTGCTGCATCATTCTATTCTTTATTTAGAATCTAAATGAAGAATAGAAAAATTAGATATAATGAACGATAAAGAATAATAAAAGAATAATAAAGAATAAGAAAAGAAAAGACATAATAGCGCTGATAGCGAGTTTTTCGAGCAACCCAAGAATATCATGTATCCCTAACTTAATATATATACAAAATAATTACACTGTCAGAAAATTTAGCCTGTTGCAATATATACCAGTACTGAAAAATATAATACCTATACATTTTTGTATTGGCAATATGTCAGAAACAATCGCCTAATATTCATCACTGAATCCTTTTAAGGAATTCATTAAAAAAAAAACCATTTCAGGTAAAATTGTCCAAAAATTACACATAACAGATCTTATAACGCTGCATCTTTTATTATTCCATCTGGTACTTACTAAAGAAAAACTATATCCCGCTGCTTCCAACTCGACGGTACCGCGTACTGCTCTCACAACCATACAAGACACTATAATATTTAAACAGTATGATAATATTACAGTGAACATATCCTCTTTCTCACATTGTAATATTTGAATAACGTTGCAATAATATTACACTATTAATCATATTGTAATATATCATATTGTATAAATATCTCAATAAAATTACTGCAATATTACATTATAATATTTTGTAATGTAATATCTTGGTAATATTTTCGTGATATTGCATTGAAAGTTGTGATATTACTGCAATTACATACTATGTGGGTATACATGAATTATCTTCAGACTATATGTTGGAAAACATGTGTAATTTCTAATAAATATACTTTACCTCTGTTTCACATTTCTGTTGATGCATCATATTTTCCAGAAGAATAAAGCATTTCTGTCGATATTTGAAAGTTATTAATAAAGCTTGAATATCCCTTCAAACAATTAATATCCCTTTTCCTTATCCATATATTATTCTTCTCTATGTGACAGTGTATATGAAGTAGATACATATTTCTTTTCTTATAATAGTTATAGCTAAGCATGTTCTCCTTTGCGGACATATTATCGATAATAACAAAGTAATTTACTGAAATTAGAAAGACGTCCACTACATCTAAAGGAATTTATAAATACATGTGTTGCATAGCGGCTTAAAAGAATAGATTTCAATGCCATGCGAAATCGACTGGGAATTTATTTATATGTAATTATCAATACTCTATAAAGTAATAATTATCTTATAGTATACTGTCTAATCCAAAAATGTTGCAGTGCTCACAGATCTACAAGACGTTTAAAACATGAAGTATACAAATATGAAGTGGCTTGTGCTACACTCGCAGAATATCAGTCTACGCAATATTTAACAATTTCATGTTTATGTGTCGCTGATCCTTAATATAAATTGTTATATGTTATTGTAAGTTGTATTATTTTATTATAACTTTTATTGCTTACTTACATATTCTTAATATACTATCAATAATAATAAAGTTTCAAAATTGTTAAAGAAAAACATTCAACTCTTCTTTTTATCATTATTAAAGATTATTATTAATTAAAAATATATAATTGCTGTTTAAAAATATAAGATATAAACATATATGTTGTTGTAAATTCTACGTTTTATATTGTATTATATAGTTTGAATTTTTATGAAATAGAAAATAAAGGTCCATAACGATTGAAACTGGATCTTTAATAATTCAATGTGAATTTGTGTATACTATACAGGGTGAGTAAAAAGTCCCGAACCGGTGAAATATCTCGAAAATTAAGCATTTCCGAAAGAGATGTTTCCTACAAAGTATCTAATTAGTAATAAGGCTTATAAATTTTATAAAATTTATAAAACACAGAAAAAAAGGACTACGAACCAAAAATTGTTATATAAAATAAAACACGATAATATAGAATGTAAAAAAATAATAAAAGAAACAGAAATATTTTAAGTTAAAAATTTAATATAGAACACTAGTAGATGTTTCGATCGCGATTGGATCATTTTCAATGTCAAAAACATACGTAATAGTTACAGTCGAAAAAAACCAAAACATAATAAATTATCTATTTCGCTCAGATGCTGGTAACATGAAAACGATTATCATAATATACGAATATCATAATTATAATGTATAACGGAAAAAGAACGTATGCATAATAAAAGCTACTTGCAATCAGTCATTAAAATGCTTATAATGTCAATTTTAGTAAATCGAATGTCCTTTGATTAGAAATGAACAGAGAACGCAAATATAAGTCTGATCTTGTAGAAAAGTATAATATAAGTGAAATTATAGCGCAAGATTAATAATATGATTGAATATCAATTATATTATAAATTAATCATATTGTAATATATCATATTGTATAAATATCTCAATAAAATTACTGCAATATTACATTATAATATTTTGTAATGTAATATCTTGGTAATATTTTCGTGATATTGCATTGAAAGTTGTGATATTACTGCAATTACATACTATGTGGGTATACATGAATTATCTTCAGACTATATGTTGGAAAACATGTGTAATTTCTAATAAATATACTTTACCTCTGTTTCACATTTCTGTTGATGCATCATATTTTCCAGAAGAATAAAGCATTTCTGTCGATATTTGAAAGTTATTAATAAAGCTTGAATATCCCTTCAAACAATTAATATCCCTTTTCCTTATCCATATATTATTCTTCTCTATGTGACAGTGTATATGAAGTAGATACATATTTCTTTTCTTATAATAGTTATAGCTAAGCATGTTCTCCTTTGCGGACATATTATCGATAATAACAAAGTAATTTACTGAAATTAGAAAGACGTCCACTACATCTAAAGGAATTTATAAATACATGTGTTGCATAGCGGCTTAAA